AAGAGCTTTAAGTTGGAAATTAATTAGGAGGTGGGGACCCATTAAGGGGCCGGCAGCATGTAGAAAGAGAGGGAGAGGTTTGGGAAATAAATTCAAGCCTTCTTAATTGGGATTATTAAATTAGGAAAGGCTTAATTAATTCCCAAAGAATTTTAAAATCTAAAGGGATGAAATTTGGAAACTTTCCTAAATTAGGATTGGTATTTTAGGTAACAATTTCAAATTCAAATGAATTTGAATTTGTAAATTAATTGAGTTACCTAAAATATTTAAACCCACTTAGGAAGGTTGTAATTGCAAGCATTAATGGAGAACCCAAAGGGGGCCGGCGGCTATGGATTTGGAAGAGAAATTAAGGAAGCTATTAGTGCTTCCTAGTGCTTCCTTAAGTCATGGGCATAAATTTAGGATGGAATACTTTATCCTAATTTAACTTTAATTCAATAGGCAAGGATTTGAAAAGTTTCCTAAAATAGGAGTGATATTTTAGGTAATTTTTCAAATTCAAATTATTTGAATTTGAAAAGTTAACGAGTTACCTAAATTAATCAACCCAGCTAGGAAAGGAATCAATGCAAGCAAGGATGGAGGGAAAAAGCTAAGGGGGGAGTGGCTTGGGTTCGGTTGAATGAAGGGCGGGCGGTGGGGTGTGGCTTTGGATAAGTGGGCCGGTGGTTGTAGTGGGGGATGGAGGGTGGTGGCTTGAGGTGGTGGTGGGAAACGTTGGCTGGCGGCAAGGTGGGTGGCTAGGAGCTCCGACGACTAGGAGGAAGAGGGATTAAAAGAAAAGAACAATAAAACTAACCATGAACCCGGCCGTCTCCAAGGTTGGTGGGTGATCCGCTTTCCCTCTCCTAGGGATCTCTCTCTCTCCAAGCACTCTCAAGAACTCAAGCAATAGCACAAAATTTTCTTATCATTTAATCATTAACTTTTGAAGAGCAACATGAGGGCTATAAATAGCCTCGTACAAGAATGACACAAAATAAGAAAGACGACAATGCCCTTAGGGCTTACATATGACCTCCCTTAAGTAAGGGGTAAAGCGGGAAAACAATTAAAACATAAACAAAAATAAATAACATAATAAAAGACAAATACATGAAAATGACTCAAAACTACATCGACTCGATCGTGGCCGTAGACCGACGGCCACGCCTCTAATATACGATTCATGCTCTGATCCCCATCACAATGATGAGGGGTAAAGCGGGAAAATAATTAAAACATAAATAAAAATAAATAACATAATAAAAGACAAATACATGAAAATGACTCAAAACTACATCCTCGATCGTGGCCGTAGACCGACGGCCACGCCTCTAATATACGATTCATGCTCTGATGTCCCCATCACAATGATGATATGAATATGTTGCATAGGGATGTGTCCATACATGACCACCAAGTTGGTTTATTGAAAATTCACACTTCAACTGAGAGCTTGTTAAATATGAAGTCTAATTTCTACCACCTTTCATGGATAATGTTTGGTCTTGATTTTCTAAGATGATGGTTACCTGAGTCAAGCTTCATTTATAGTTATTTTTTCACACGTATCACTCATATTATAGAAGGGAATAAATCAATGTTTATAAGTATCCCACAACCACTAGCAAATAAAGAGAATTAGATAAGAGAAAGAGAGAAGGACAGATATGAAGAGATATTGTAGTAGAGAGGAGAGGAGAAGAGAAGAAGAATTGGGATCAATGTTTTATTCTCCAAATTCATCCCTCTTCTTCACAACAACAGGTTGCATTCCCTTTTAGTCATAGCACAATCAGAGTGGTATTTTTGTCATTATTCATATGAAGTGTAATATTTCCATGTACCTCTTTTGATTGCCGTGTGATCATGAACTTATGTGAATCCCACCAAACCTGATAATCTTGTGTTGGAGGTTTTTGTCGTTTTTGTTCTCTTGTCTCATCTAGTTTTTCTTGAAGTATTATCATTATAATAGCATATAATCCGCTGGGGGGGGGGAGGGTTGAGCAACCATACTTTGATTTCACTATTCTTCAATTTATCCTTATATATTGCAATAATGCTTCTTAATGAATTTTCATAATCTTCAATACTAGTATGGAAAGATATGTTGTGTCCTAAATACATATTTAAATCTTACATATATATTTTTTTGACATGAACATATGGCGATGATTTGCTTGGAGAAGAGGCGATGGACTTGTATAAATTCATTGTGGTCAAAAGGACACAGATACGGATACGATACATGTTAATTATTCAAAATATTGGACACAAATACGGGTTCTACATGATATTATAATTTATATATTTTAAAAATAGTGTATAAAAATTGAATAAGTATAATATTAAAAATAATTTAGAAGTAATAAGTTATTTAACTAGAAATTGTCCTTGAAATGATTAATATTAGGATGCTAAGAGTTGGGCGTCAATTTTGTGTATCAGTCATCAATTGAGGAAACAACAATGCTGAATGTTTAAGACACTCGTGTCGAACACGGGTGGCCAATTTGTATTAATTTTTTTTTAATTAGACACATTTTCGGTGTATACGATACGTGTCGGAGGTGCATGTCGTGTCAGACACTGTAGGCTTCTTTGAGAAGAAGCGTCGGTACATCATAGTGTTGAATTAGAAGAGGGGGAGACTTATTATTATGATTTTACTTTGATTTATTATGATCTTACTTTGATATTAGTATGCTACTTATTATTTTATATTTTTAATTAATTAATAATTTAATTGTGAAATTTATGTCTCAAAACTCTTTGAGTCTTATGCCTCATTTTATAGATAGAAAACACCTCAATAGTTGATTGCATAATTTTAAACCTTGGGTTGATATACTAAGAAGGGGGTGAAGCGGTGATTTTAATACTTTCTTATAAATTTCAAAATAAGTATGATTAAATTATGAATGAAAGTAAGTAAATGTGTAATTGAAAAGTAGATAACTAGACAATACGAAAATGATATTTATGAAGTTTGACCTCAATTGGCCTATGATTGCGCTTAACACCCTCTTGGATTAGGATTACACTATTCAGAGTTCCTATCACAAGCTCAACTAACTCTTCTGCTCTTCAAGTCGATAGAGAAACAATCACAACCTAATAGGCTACTTCAACCGGTGAGCACAACCCAAAACTAAAGTACAACAATTGAAAGAATGCTAACTCTTCTATGTCTTGGCAAAAAATAGAAGAACAAAATAAATTCCGAAATGAAAACAATATTTAGGGTAGTATTGAATTGACCTAGTTCTTGGTGACCTAAAGACCCCTAGATTTGATGCAAGCCCTAGGTGGCTGGATAACTTAGTTAACCTTGACAGCTAGCTACTACTAGTTGCCCCAAGCTTGGTCAATTGAGTAAGTTCTCATATTAGGCCCTCCATTGGACTTAGGTGAGCTCAATTGGATACTAATCTTAGACCTGGGTGGCTAGGTCAACTTAATATGACCTATATATTATCATTGTATGAATTAAAACAATCTTCAAGATATTGGCTGATAAGATTCACAAAATCCATGCTAGTTTTTGTCAACCATCAAAACAATTCAGTCCATGCTTTTTTTTTGAAGAAACAACATTGGAATATCATTCCACTGTATTGTGGATGCATGGTGGTTACAAGAAATGATCTAAATAAAGGAAAGCTCTGCTGAATTACTTGTCCAAAGATTTTAAATTGAAATATTTAGACTTACTAAAATATTTTCTTTGTGTCTTGATCCAATAAATGAATATTTTTGTCTCAAAGAAAATACGCTTTAGATCTTTTACCACAGATTGGAATGCTAGCATGTCAACTACTAGATAGGTGATAGAAGAAGGATTGAAGTTATGTGTTTAGTTGGACCATGTTCCGATTGATATGGGGAGATACCAATGATTTGTTGGGAGACTAAATGACCAACGTGCTTAGCTCACATAAAACCAGATCAATCAATTTGTATGTAAACTTGGAGAACAACATATGAATGTTATTATATACATTTTAAGGTACGGTGAAGCTTGCTCTTGTAAATTCAATTTTGTTCTCTGAAAAATGAAGATCATGCAAATGTACATGACTGATGTGAACTAGGTTGTATCATATATGACAGGTGATCTACTTTAGGATACTTTACCTGCATGGTTGGTAATCCCATGATATGGACGAGAAAGAGACTAAATGTTGTTGCTCGGTTAAGTGCAAATACTAAATTTAGAGGTATGACATTTAGAATTTGTCATTACGGCTAGGATATCTCTTATAGGATTTTGTTTCTCTACCTGAGCAACTAGAGCAACCAATCTAACTATTTTGTGACATTAAAGTTGTGTTTAACATTGCACATAATCCATTATAATACTACAGTACATATTATGGCTAGATAGATAGTTGGATGAAAAGATCATCGAGTTATCTATGATCTGATCAGAAAGTTGCCTATGATCTGGTCAGAATATAAGTTGACTGAATTTAGTCACCAATGCCATTTCAAATTTAGCGTTCTCAAAAATTTTCAGCAAATTGGGCATTTGTGATATCCATGCGAAAGGTGATATAGTATGGATATTAGCTATAATATCGTTGCATCATTCCTAAATATTTTTCATAGTTGAGGAAGTAGATTGCTATAAATTTGTGCTTGTTTTTTTGGGAAGTGTATTGTTGTAACTGGGTTGGATTGCTTGATTGAAGTGTGTATGGTTCTCTGCATATTGCTTGTTTATGGGTAGATCAAATATGCAGGAAAAAACATACCTATCATGCTTAAAAGATAAACATCGATCAGGTTTGTGGAAAGACATTGCAAAAAGGTGTATCTTTCTGTAATCAATTCCCATAAATGTTCTTGTTTGACTCTTATGAAAATTCTTCGTTTTGTTCCGCTACTTTACTGCATTGGCAATTTCCTTTTTGTCCGGCTTTGTTTTATTTTGATCTATCAGTGGATTATGATATTTGTGATATTATTTTAACAAACTGTTGACACTATTTTACTCCTAACTGCAGAGGAATGTGAGAGATATTGCCAAATTGTACAACTGTGAGGCATCTTTTGATGCAGTGGATAGGCATAGAAAATCTACTGGGATAATTTCTGTTGCTTCAAGATGCTTTGATGCTGCAAATATATCTACTATATTCATAGATGACGGGATTAAATTTGACAAAATGCATGATTTGGAGTGGCATAGACGTTTTGGTCCAGTGGTTGGGAGAATATTAAGAATCGAGCATTTAGCGGAGACAATTCTCAATGACGTGAGTATTCAGTTTTATTTGGCTGGCTCGCTATTTTTTCTCCTAGAATTGTCTATTTCTTGTTGGGCTTGTACTGAGCAAGTAATAAGTTTCTTTGATCTCTACAAATACCCTTATAACTTTGAATGACTTTGATGAGATAATGAAGCCTAATATGTCAGCCATTAGATATAAAAAAACCTAATTGATTTATTTCTTCCCAGACTGAAGCATTTGAATGAATTGAGATTAGATATTGATGTAATGCAAGTTTCTTCATTGATAATTATGAGTTTTTATGTTTTCGTCTTTATTTGTATTTAAATTAATTATTAGCATAATATTAGGCAACATATGTGTCTATTTACTTCCAAACATATTTCTTATGTGTAATAAGGTCATCTTATTTCCTTCCATATTAATCTTAATGTATTTTTTATCTTTATTTATATTTAAATTAGTTATTAAACTAATTATCAAGCATCACATATATTCATTTAGTTTTAAACATATTTCATTTATATAATAAAGACATTTTTTCCCTTTGATGGTAGTCTTAATTATATTTTAGGCTAGTATTATGAGCTCTAAGACTATATAAGGTGTTCTAGTTTTGTGTTATGAATTATTGCATGATTTATTGAGATTTGAAATTTCTTGTCATTTCCCCTTTGGGGATTCTTTCACTTCTAGTATTTCTACTTGCTAGTTTCTCTACCCCTTACATTTCTCCTCTTGAGGTATTTATTAGTCTAACATTTTAACCATTTTTTTCTCTCTATCTGTTTGGTTCTTTTTTTTTTTTAATATCTTTTTGTTTTTGTCATGGATGTTCTCACTAAACATTGCAAGAGGTTGTACCTTGGTGTATGCTTTTTGCTGATGAGATTCTTCTTATTGATAAGACTAGAGAGGGAGTTGAAGATAAACTTGAATTATAGAGGTCAACTTTAGAGTCTAAAGGATTTCGTTTGAGTAGATCTAAAACTGAATATATGGAGTATAATTTTAGTAATAATAGTTATTGTGAGGGGGATTGTGCCTTTGGGTGATCAAGTCATTAATAAGAGTTCACCTTTTAGATATATTGGGTCTATTGTTCAGAGTGATGGTGAAATAGATGGGGATATTATTAGTAGAATTCAAGTTGGATGGTTGAAGTGGAAAAATGCATCGAGCTTGTTGTGCGATAGAAAAGTCAAAGTTCTATAAGATGGTGGATAGATCTGCAAGGCTTTATGGTGCAGAATGTTGGCCATTAAAAGAGAAACATAATATTAAGTTAAGTGTTGCGAAGATGAGGATGCTCAGGTGGATGAGTGGCTTTACTCTTAGAGATGGGATATAAAATGAGCATATACGTGAAAAGGTTGGAGTAGCTCCAGTGGAAGATAAGATTTTAGAAAGTTGCTTTAGATTGTTTGGTCATATAAAACGTTGGCTTTCCGATGACCTAGTTAGTTAGGAAAGTAGATGCATTAGAAATGAATTATGTTAAGAAAGGTAGAGGTAGACCTAAAAAGATTTAGTTAGAAAATATTAGAAATGACATTTCTTTATTAGATTTAAATGGGAATTTAAATTTTAATAGGGCATAATGGAGAAAAAGGATTCGTGGTAGCCGACCCCACAGTGGGATAACGGCTTGATATTATTGTTGTTGTTGTATCGAATTCTTCAAAGTCTTGTTGTATCATTCACAATCAGATATGTTGATCTTAGCTGATCTTGCATTTTTAGTGTTGTTTCTTTGTTTGTACATTGGATTATGATATTGCAATATCGCCATTAGTTGCATAATGCGTTCTGTTTTCTATGTGGTTATTGGTTTACAGGAGAGGTATCATGAATCAAATTGGACTTTGGAGTTGTTCTCTCAGATTTTTATGGGACAAATGACATCATATCCTTTGCTGTATTATTTTTGAGCTTATGGAGTAGTATTCACTGTTACATGGACTGCTGGCACAATATGTATTATTATGCAGGATTAAAATAGTCCTTGCATTCTTGGTTAGGATAGATGTTGTAAGGATGACTTGGATGTGTGCTAGTGGCCGGTGCGCATACCAAAACATCCTCACTTCACCTGAGGAGCGAGATCTTTAAATGTAAACATATAATACTAGAATTATAGCCCAACTATACTTTATCAACAGTGAATAGTTCATCATATTGTAAAGTTCCCATGGAGATATAGAACATAGCTTGTAGCATGGCGTGCTTTGTTTTAAAAATAACACAGCATTAAAAAATGATGAATAATTTAGTAAAAAAATAACAATATAAGAGAAATAAAATCCCAATGCAAAAAAAGTCACTATCAATGTCAGAAATGAACAAAATATTATTTAACTTACTAAACATAATATTATTTAACTTACTAAACATGTGCTTTTTTTTATAAGTGCTCCAAGTGCCTGTACAATTTACTAGTTTCATTTAAATTTCCAAATGATTTCATAGGAGTTTATATCATTTTTTAATTAAGGGTTTGTTAGGGTAACTTTCTCATTGCTTTATTTTTCAAACTGCTGTCACATATTCTTTTTTTAACTACTGTTTTTTTGTTGATTTTAAAAAAAATTTATGATGGGATGTTGATTTTAAGAATCAAATTTGCTAGTGTATAACTATGAGAAAGCAACTATCTATTTTTTTAAAGTTCTCTCCATATAAAGAAGAATAAAAAGAAAAAGGAAAAAATTATACGAAAAAAAGCATTTGTGAAACTCCTTAAGTAAAAGAAGCTAAATTCTTAAACATCGATGTGCCTTTTGGTATAATGGTTGAAATTTCATTAAGAAACTCCGCAGTTAAGTGTGCTCATCCAGGAGAAATTCTAAGATTGGTGACCTCATGTGAAGTTACACCAACAGGACAAATCGTGAGGCTCTTAGGCCAAAATGGGCAATATCTCGATAGTTAAGAATGTGGGCTATTACAACATTTTCCTTTTCTTGCTAAAAGAGAGAAAAATGAGAAAAATATACAATAAGCTCAAATTTAGGGTGGGGACATCCCTAATTAGTGCATAAATTTAAGGAATAACCATATTTCTCATCTAAACATAACAAAGATATCTATGTGTCATTTAATCATTTTGTTCGACACCTTAGCATACTCTACTTTAGCATTGTAGGATAAAACCCTATATGTAAAAGAAACTAAAAAATTTCTACTTTCTATAAATCTAACTTGTTACAAGAGAAGTTCTCTTGAGAGTTCTAGAAAAGAAATGAGTTAATAATGCTTATATTAAGTCATTAAAGATATGTATGCAGGAGCTATTACTTGTGTTCAAACACAAGGTGGTTTGATCATGTATTTTTCTATTTCAGTTGGATGACATCAATGATCAGGTTTAAGCCCATATCTTTTTGCTTTAGTTATGGGTGTTCTTACCAGAAATTTGAAAGAAGATGTATCATAGTGTATGCTTTTTGCGGTGATATTCTTCTTGTTGATAAGACTAAGAAAGCTTGAATTTTGGAGATCAACTTTAGAGTCTAAAGGTTTTCGTTTGAGTAGATCTAAAACAGAATATGTGAAATATAATTTTAGTAGTAATAGATCTACTGTGGGGATTGTGACTTTTGGCGATCAAGTCATTAACTAGAGTAAAAGTTTGAGATATCTCAGGTTTGTTCAAAGTGATGGTGAAATAGATGGGGATATTGTTAGTAGAATTTATGTTGGATGGTTGAAAATGGAGGATTGCATGGGTAGTATTGTGTGATAGGAAAGTACCCCTCAAAGTTAAGGGAAAATTCTATAAGATGGTGGTGAGACCTACAATGCTTTATGGCACAAAATATTGACCATTGAAAGAGAAGTATAAAATTAAGTTAAGTGTTGCAGAGATGAGGATGCTCAGGTGGATGAGTTGCTTCACCCCTTGAGACAAAATACAAAATGAGTATATACATGAAAAGGTTATAGTAACTCCAGTGATAGAAAAGATTAGAGAGAGTTGCCTTAGATAGTTTGGTCATATAAAACATCTTTTTTGGGATGATCTGATTATGAGAGTAGATGTATTAGAGTTGGCCTATATCAAGAAAGGTTGTGGTAGACCTAAAAAGATTTGGTTAGAAAATATTAGAAATAATTTTCTTTTATTAGATTTAAATGAGAATTTGACTCTTAACTGGACACATTTGAGAAAAAAGGATTTATGTAGCCGACTCTATGTAGTGGGATAAAGACTTGATACTGTTGTATAAACTTGACTTGTTGCTCATTTTGATGAAAGAACATATTGATTTACATGAGAGCTGAATTTAGGAATGAAAATACTCTAATTATATTATGTCTAAATCCCAACAAAATTTTCTTATTCATACTAGTAGTTTAAATAAGTAAATCAACGAATAAATGAGTAAAATGAAATTGAATAACAAAATTGCATGCCATTTGAATTTGCATTATAGCATGCACAGAGCACGCACAGAGAACGCACATAACACATTATTTTGCTTTGGTATGCCTTGCCATTCAAATAGTGTATGTGGTGTGCAACGTTATGTTATGGTTAGCACATGCTTATTTCATCCCAAATATTTTACTCAAGATCGTCGGTGAAACAAATTATAGTAACAAGATAATTTAAAGCTAAATAATCTTTAGTTAGAAAATAGGTAAACTTTGATTAAAATTCTAACACATCACATTTATGTTGTTTTAAATCCTTAAACTGGTGATGAAATTGATTTTTGTATTTATCAAATGATAAATATTGTTCCTTAACCTTGCACACCAGTCCATGGAGATTGTATAGCAACACCCCTGCTAGTTTTGATTTTGCACATTCAACACTTTGAGAATCAAACAAATTTTATTTTTTCATTTTCCAAATTATTGATCCACCTTGAAATTTATTTACAATTATACTTCCCATTCAAATGCAGGAGTGTTATTTTGAATCTGATTGTATTATTTTAGAACCATGACGTCCTCCTTTCTATTTAATTCACATCATTGATTAATGTTTTCTAGTCGACATTGGAATGCATAAGCTTGGATATCAATTTGATGTAGTATGATTTACGATTAAGTTTTCTTAATACAACTAATACTGTGTAGTGTGAGCATATACGATAGAAATTGAAGATTGACATAATAATAGTCACCAATAATTCAATCACCTGCTTTCTTTAAATGTAAACATGGAATGCTAGAATTATAAACCAACTGATAATGAAATGATCAAAATTATTTGAAAAATTTAGTGAGGAATTGGAACCAAGTAAAAATTACATGAATTTGATTTCTGCAAATTAGGTTTTCACGTGTTAAATTTTAATCAAAATTAAGATCGCTAAACAAGTTACTATCAAATAATATAGATGAAATCGAATAAACTACAAAATTGAAAAATCAAGATAAATCTGACCTTATGTTAGCATACGGATATGACATACTTTGGATTAAGAGGTTGTAGTTGTAGTGCAATCAAAGGTATCCCAATTCCCACATCTCTTGCACACACAAGATTGAATTTAGAAAGGGAAATTTTCTTCAAGCCAAAAGTTTCTAATTACAATCCTTGGAACAATTATTTATAGACTCCTTGTTTCCCAAGCTAGCATATGGTTGACATAGTATTCTGTTAATTCTAAGTTTAACTTAAATTTAAACTATAATTTGAAATTTCTAAATTCCCATCCAAAGTCGAAACTGTGAAAACTTGAAGTCTGCAACTTCATGAAACTCCCCAATTTGAAAGCCAAGGATTTGGATAGCCTACCAGAAAGCCACAACTCACAAACCCTTTGCTAAAAAATCTTGATGCAGTCCACCTGCAAACCGCTAATAGTCACAATAATCTATGGTTTAAACTGAAGCAACCACTGCTCATATCCTAATGATAAGCCCAAAGTAATTCAAACTCCACCGCAAAATTTCAACTAATTTCAATTTTGCACGACCCAAGGAAACTGGCTGCTAAATAATCCCCAACACTGCCTCCAGCTGGTAGAGATTCCACGCCAGGCTTTGCTTCAACCTTGTTTTGTATGCCATGCCTCGTCGGCAAAGGTTGCAGTTAGCTGCCTTATTGGATAATGTGTTGCATGAAATCGTGATTGTTCTATTATTTATTTTTTTACGTCAATTACTATTTCCTCAGCTTCTATGACACAGTTGTTGATAAGATTGTTGCAATGAAAAGTATAGCTGCTTATAGAAGTGGTCTAAAGATAGATACAAATGTTAGCAAGATACTTGCTGAGGAAGGTCTTCTCCGAGACTTGCATGGTAACTTACCATGTATTTGCATATCAGATATGTTTTATTGGGATATTATGAGTAATTTTACTGGTTTACCAGTTTGCGTGACCATTATAAACTTATATATTTGGCAGACAGGAAACCTGTTCGGATAAAGAGTAAAGGCTTTATTGATTACATATTCACATTGAGCCTAGAAGTTGCTCAGTCCTTCAACTTGCCTATGCAGATTCACACAGGGTAATGCTTATCATTTACTTCTACACATATTTTTTGTTGACATTATTATTTATAGATATGCCACAGATTTTTGACTTTGTAACCTAACATCTTCTTGAAAACGCACAATATAGCATGGCCGCTTTATTTTAATTCTTTGTTTTTTTAATATATTTTTTTAATCTATTAGTTTTATATATTGTCAAGACATCCATTTGCCCAAATCTATAAGTTTTATATATCTTCAAAGTTGCAGCGTGACTGCAAACGCACGCAAAATCATCATAAACGACCTTGGACATTATCATCTCATTTGAGTGTTGAGAGCCTTCACATCCTAAGCATGGAAAACCATCTGCAAACAGAAGATGTTCGTACATTTTGTAGATACTTACATGTTGACTCAACTTTTGAATCGAGTCGACTCAGATTTCATAAAGTTTAAAATTTCAACTTAATATTGACCCGAGACGATTCAGTTAAATTAAATTTGACTAATTAATTCAAAGACAACTCAATTTTTGGCTCAAGTTAGCTTGAATCATTGAAATTGAATCAAATTTTTTCAATTCATTCATTCGATTCAACTTTAATTTTATTAATTTGAATTGAATCGAGCCAAATCTCATCAAATTAATTCATGCAAGTTGAATCGACTCATACTGAGACGAATTGAGCCACTTCACATCAAATTAAATTAAATCAAGTCAAATTGAGTTAAATTAAGCTGAACTGAGTCAAGTTAAATCCAAATTGGCCTATCTGGTTGACCCAAGTTCTGTTTTGATCTTCTTAAGCCTTTCCAGATTTAGGAGGGAATTGGAGGAGGGCTGTTTGGGTATTTCTTGTTTGTTGTATGCTTTAAGTAGGGGTTTGTTTTTTTTTCTAGGGTTAGGGTTATGTGTTGTTTGTTGAAATTAGATTGTTCTTATGGTGTTTGAGCTCTTGCCGACAACTAGAGATTTGGGAGAGACAGATCTTTCTCTCCAATTGAAGTTTCACTTGTATCTTGTATTTTCTTTCATAAAACTTTCAATCAAAAATTGTACTTTTGTGTTCTATTCCTGGTTTTCTTGTCGTTGATTTTTTGAAATAGTTGAAATTAGATTTCATCCGAGGCTTTTCCTAAATTTCTAAATGACACTTCTTATCAGATAGCTGAATCATGAGAGAGGGGCTGCTGTGACTTTTATTTTTCATAATCAAGAGAGGAGGAGATTATTCTTGTGTGAAAATCCTAAACCAAGCAAGTCTTCATTCTCAGGTTTCTAGAAATTTGGCTTGTTTTCTTTCCTTAAGCCTTTAAAATTTGAGAGCAGCCTTTTCTGGAGTGGTGGCTTTTATTTCGTTTTCAAAAATCAAGAGAGACATAGGGTTGCTGCTACGTCAGTTTCCATAACCAATAGAAAGAGAGAGAAAAGCTTGTACGGGCAGTTGCCATGCTAAATATTTTGCTAACAGAGTTTTGATCCTTTTATGAGTCAAGTATTATAGCTGCGCGTGTGAAGATGAACGTGATCGACAAGACGAGATTGCATGCAAGCGACATGAGCTTTTTCTTGTTGATTTTTTTATCTCGTTTTTCTGAGAGAAAAAAGTGAGATGTCCTCTCTTTTTTGGTGAAAGAAGATAAGGTTGAGAGGAGGGCTAGAGATAGAGAGACATGTTTTTCTATCTGTTTAGAAAGAGAAAAAGGGGGTTAGTGAGGGAAATGAAGTTCTTTTTTGTTTGGAGAGAGAAAGAAAGGATATTTTTTGATAGTTCTCTCTCTATCTCTATTTAGAGAGAGAAAGAGTGGTTAGGGTGAGGGGAAGAGAGAGAGGGAGAGGTGATGAAAAAGAAATTGAGCTAAGAAAATGTCTCCCACTTTCTCTTTATTTAGGAAGAAATAGGGAATAAGGGGAGAGGAAATAGAAAATTGAGAAAGAGAAGAGAGAGAGAGAGGAGGAAGAGAAGGTGGCGAGTGGTTGGTTGGCTGGACTGGCTGCTAGCATCATGTGTAGCGGTTAATCGAACATGGGAGTGGCATTGGTTGCATTTGAAGAGGGATCGCTAGTAGAGATGGTAGCTGCTTGTGCGGGTCACATGCGAGTAAAGGAGTTAGGGGCCAGGTGTCACGACCCGACCCGGCTAGTCCGAATTAACGGGGCGGGAGCAGACAGTCGTACGGAAAAAACATCATAACATAAATATAATCATTTCATATAAAATCTTTATGACATAATTTGAATATCCTCAATACATAAAATAAGAAAGAGCCACTAAGAAAATATCAATATCATAATTATCCAAATTTGTTTCGTCTCACACAACTACTAAAAACTTAAATCATTAACAGTTACATAAGCTCCCACAAACTATACAGATACAGATCAAAGATTCAACAAAAAATATAAAACATAAATACCTTTCTTCTTCTCGAGGTCCTCTACAACGGTAGGTATACTGCCGTCTCGTAGCCATTACTTAATTATTTCTTCTGAAAAATATTTTCAAATGTAGGTTGAGCTTACTCGCTCAGCAGTTAATTCATAACTCAATTAATTTCATAAGTAGCATATAACAAAAACTTTTATAAATGAAATCAATTCATATCATTTTGCAAATCATAACATTAAAATTTTCAATCTTACTTTAATTTTCCTTTCTTTAACGTTCAATTCTTTCATTCTTTCTTTTCACCATTTTCATATGCAAATCAAATGCAAATATACTTATGTTAAATGTATACACCCGTCCCGGAAGTACCAGTGTTTGTACTGATCAGGTACAGTCAAATTTCGGCCATTTCCTTTACCATTTGGTTCCGAAGAACCCTATTACCATTTAGCTTTTTCAAGCCCCTTTATCATTTGGCTCCATAGAACCCCATTATCATTTGTTTGACACTTCCAGATCAATATGCACATGAAATCATTATTTAATTTAAATCATTCAATCATGTTCAATTGTTCTTCTTAAGCTTCATATACTTTCATGCTCATGTGTTTTTCTTATGCTTCATATGCTTTCATATTCAAGTGTTCTTCCTAGCTTCATATGCTTTCATACATATGTTTTCCAATTAATGCATAATATAGAAATATGAAATTGCAGGGTATTCTTTAAATCATTGAATATAAAGCATGAATTAAAAGTAAAATAAATACATAAAAAAATTCATTTAAGCATAAAAATACAAGCACTTATGAATTTAAATGAGGTATAAATACCTACCTTAACGACCTCAAAACAGACTTCTACGACGTACCACGTCACTCCAACACTTGACGTTCCTCTAAACAGTCAATACCTAACATTGCACATAAGATCCAAGTCACATTACATAATATTTAATTTATTTAAATTTAATTAGCATTTTCAAATTTATCAAAAATCCTACATTTTGGAACTCTAATTTTTAGTAATTTTGTCTTCTTATCACATCAAACTCTCTTCTAAACCTAATTTAATAATTAGGTTAATTATTTTCGGATTTAATAAATTAGAAAATTAAAAAAAAAAGAGTTTTTCACCAAAAATCAAATATTTTGTCATAAAATCATTCCGAAGGCTTTTATAAACAACTTTTGTAAAAGCACTTATAAAAATTAGATTTTAGTAAAAAGCCCTACTTTTTCGTTTCCCAAAATTTCTCTAAAATCTTTGATTCTATCGTTAAAATACTCCTCTAATCATTCCCTATTTCTCTCGGTTTCGGCCGAAATGAGCGAATGGGGGAGGGTGGGGAGGGTTTGGTTTGCTTAATAGGGAGAAATTGGGGTTGCCACATGTCCATGATGCCCTTACTTAAGTGAATTTGACTTAAGAAATAATTAGGGGTAAAGTTGGCATTATGAGATTTCCAAAATTTTTCTCTTTAAAATACTCCAAATTAACTATAAATTCTATACATCAATTTGATATGAATTTTGCATAGGATTTTGTAAAATTATTTCCATCAAATTCCGTTAACTTAAAAAATTTTACTTAAGTCTCGTCGCGACGCATCAAAAAGCGTACGACGACTTAGGATCGTCGTTTTCGGGTTCTATGATTCTCCCCTCCTAATAAAAAATTTCGTCCTCGAAATTTAAAAAGAATTCTCTACATTAAAGCCATATCTTAGCCAAATAAATAAGAGTGCTTCTACCTCATTTCTGATTCCTTTTCCCAGGTGGCATCTTTTTCCAAAGCACCTTAACATAAGGGATCACTCTGCTCCTCAAATGCTTAACATCATAGTCAATAATTCCCTCTGGTTTATCTATAAAGGTCAAATCTGGCTGAATATCAATTGATTCAGTACTGATCTTTTGAGTTTTATCTGAAATATATTTCCTCAAAGAAGAGATGTGGAATACATTATGTACTCCACTCATATGTGCTGGCAAAATTAATTTATAGGCCGCTTTTCCAATCCTTTTTGAAATCTCAAAAGGACCTACATATCTTGGACTCAGCTTTCCCACTTTGCCAAATCTCTTCACTCCCTTCATTGAACTGACTTTGAGAAATACAAACTCTCTAACATCAAACTCAATTGATTGGTGTTTGACATCATAATATTTCTTCTGTCTATCATGCACTGTCCTCAATCTATCCTAGATCAATTTATTTTTTTATGTAGCATCATCAACCAGATCAGCACCAATACTTTTCCTTTCCCCTATCTCAGCCCAGCTTAAAGGTGTCTTACACCTTTTTCCGTATAAAGCCTCATAAGGTGTCTACCAATACTTGCTTGGAAACTGTTGTTGTAGGAAAATTCAATCAGTGGTACATATGTCTCCCACTTACCATCAAAATTCATAACACATAACCTGAGCAAATCTTCTAAGGTCTGAATGGTTCTTTCTGACTGCCCATCTGTTTGAGGGTGAAAAGCTGTACTAAAAGTAAGTCTGGTACTCATAGCTTTTTGAACCTTCTTCTATAATCTGGAAGTGAATCTTCCATCTTGATCTGACGCTATAGTCCTTGGTATCCCATGTAAGCTGACAATATGATCAACACACAAGCTCGCCAATTTCTCAATTGAA